ATCATCTTCCCCTCCGTATTCCTCTGTAAAGGAGCCGTCTTCTCTGAATTGCAATTCAAGTAAGCTGATTGAATTGGAGACGGGCCTTGAGTTGCGATTCTGTCTTCTCTCGCTAAGAAAAAATAACAGGACACTATGTCAGTCCGATTTGTATACAAATAATGACTCATAATTATGGGAAATTCGACCGCCTAGTTCAGTTGAAGGGAGATCATGAAAGTATTATGAAGCCTTTTGGGGGATCAGGTAAAGTTTGTTGTGACAACCAAGGAAAAGGAAACTACCCCCCAATCAGAGGTTCTTGACTGTAAATTCTCCTTGACAAGACCATAAGAAATGTGCAGAAAACAGTATGGAGAATATACATATTGATGTTGGGGTGTAAAGAGTTAATACATACAGCGGTGTCTTTTCAGCATTCCCCCCTAAGTTGTTTGCTTCCTCGTCTTCAACGTTTTCCTCCAATTTTTTTGCTTCGTCTGTGTATCCGCGTTTTCGTTCGCGTTTTCTAACTAGAGAAACGAAAAAACAAGTAAGACTTATGAGAGGTGGGAATGGTATAAAACAATGTCGCAGTCAAAGGTATTTGGTATCAATGTCTGTATCTGTGCTACTGCGGGTTAATTTTGGGTTAGGGGAGGGGTAGCTGCGCAGTTGTTCAGTTACTGATATTGATCCGTTCATTGCATTCCTTGGTAAGCTGTCAAATCCTACATTGTAAGACCTGAGTTCCATTAAGCGTGCCAACCCACATACATTCACGGTGTTGAAGGTGTTTGAGATCTGATACTATCTAGCGTGCTCAAGTAGAAAGTTTATTGCAAAGTCACAAAGATAGCAATGAATGTCTCGCGCTGTTCTCCTTACCAGGTGGTAACTGGTAAAATCTACCGCCTGTAGTAACAATCATTACCGCTTAAAGTCGCTTGTAATTTTTGTAAATTCAACTGGTAAAAGGACTGCTCCACTGATTGAAAAATTTCTTTAACCTGTCGTGCTTACAAGAAGGGTGAACACTGATCTCGGCTCAGCTACGAAAATAAGGGAGTTCAGCTTGAATCTGACTCTACCTTGAGAGTTCTTTTAAAAACGTTCCCTGCAAACTATAGCTAAGTAATATCAGATCATTGCCACTGTAACTACGTTAAGCTCTGATGGTATATACTAAATAATTTACGCAGCCATGCATGAAGTTATCATAAGTTACGTTATCAAACGTCACGTTACAATACGTTACGTTACAATATCTTTTCTTTCAATACAAGCGTGCTTTTCGGAACGTTACATCACACTGCACTTGTTTCCCGCTTCATTACCTTCGTATTTTTTCCCTTTTCCCTTGTAATAGCTTATGAAGAGCAAGGCAAGCGCTGAAATCAGAACTAAATAGGCAATAAGGGCCAACATAATGAGAAACCACGCCTTTTGGTAAATGTGGGTTTTTTTTACCTCTGGCTGGCGTGCACCTGAAGAAACAAAACCATATTTAAACATTTCAGAATTGCTAGAATGTATAGTTTTCGATTGATTGTTGTGTGAACAACACCTAAATCAGGTTCGTTCAAGTTTTCGCCGCCCCCCCCCTCCACTTCCGGGGCCAAAGTTGTGTTCAAATGCCCCACCAAGTGCTAGATTTTATTGTAAATTTTTTTGAAAAGGTATAACAAATGACGGTGGCTTTCTTATAGACCTTTTCTTATGAGCCATCTGCTTGCAGATGTGAACTTTTCACCTTTAAATATTTACCTCCACATTAAAAGATAAGACGCGTTTTCACGCTGGAAAGACTTGACAGTTTTTGTAAGTAAGGTAATGTTGAAATTCCCAACCCCCAGGCAAGGACGACAGTCAAATGTTTGTGGGTTGCCCGGGGGGAGGAAGTGTTTAGGCTTCAACTTGATCGATGCATTACTTCAAATGGCCGCGTTTTCCAGGTTTTAACTAGTTCTAATTGATCGTGCTCGGCTGAGAGGGTAAAATTCTGGACCAATCACATAGCGTAATAGAGCAAAATGCATGCAATCCATGATTGTCTACAATACTTAATGGAAAGTGCTAAATTTAATCGAAAAAGAGATATGTCATTTCATAGATTGAGAAAATCCAATGAATACGGCTAATTGAGAATGTAAGCAATTATCATAGATTATAATTTCTTGACTCGTCCAGATTGGAAGAACGGAAAAACTAAATGTGCTGAGAAAAGACATCTTCGCAAAAGCTAGTTGTATCAATTCATTGTTATTGCCTCTGTGTCGTGAGAAACCTTCATCCATATTGAAAAATAACTACACCCATTTGTTACCAATATTCCACTGAATGGGTGTCTGTACTCTCTTTTACGAGGCATACATACCAATGTCAGTCTTGGTTCCCTGGCAAGTTGTTTTGACTGTTGAACTGGGTAGGCTTTCACCAACAT